CTGTATTTTTGTAATAAGATGCTACTTTATAGTATTTAGCTACTGTTCTGCTACTTTTAGCTTTTAAATATTTTGTTACTTCTAGGTTGTGGCTAGCCTTCTGCTACTTTCAGCATAGCTAGCTTTTTATTATTTTCAGCTGTTAGCTACTGTTCACCATTTAGATTATTGTCTATAGTTACTTTTAGTTTGTATCTAGCCTTTTACTACTTTTAGCTGTTAGCTAGCCTTGTGTAACTTTTAGCTTTCAAGCAGTTTTGCTACTTTTAGCTTGCAGCTAGCTTTTACTACTTTTAGCTTTTAGCTAGGTCTTTACTACTTTCAGCTGTTAGCTACTGTTCTACTGTTAGATTATAGTGAGTATTTAGCTACTTTAAGCTTGTAGTTAGCTGTTTAATACTTTTAGCCGTTAGCTAGCTTTTTATTCAGCTGTCTGTTCTACTTACCATCTTTTGCTGCTTTTAGCTTGTGGCTAGCTAATTATTACTTTTAGCTGTTAGCTAGCCTAACTTTTAGCTTTCAAACATAGTTTTGCTACTTTTAGCTTGTAGCTAGCTTTTACTATTTTTAGCTTTTAACTATCGTTTTGTTACTTTTAGGTTATAGCTAGATTTTTACTACTTTCAGCTAGAAGCTACTGTTCTACTTTTAGATTTTAGCAAGTATTTTGCTATGTTTAGCTTGAAGCTAGCTTTTTACTACTTTTAGCTAGACTTGCGTAACCTTTTAGCTTTCTAAAATTGTTTTGCTACTTTTAGCTTATAGCTAGCTTTTTACTACTTTCAGCCGTTTGCTATTCTGTTACTCTTAGCTACAAGACTTTTGCTACATTTAGCTAGTATTTTACTCCTTTAAAAATGTTGCTGGCTTATTAACATTATTTTTCTGTTTCTTGCTACTTTTTAAATCACATTCTGCTTTATTTTAGCTTTCACAGCTTTGTTTTAGCTTCTTCAGAAAGTTGCAGCAATCTTTCCTACGCGGCATTCATACAGCATTTTTGCAGAAAATACTTTTTTTTCCCCGTAGAAATTCAAAAGTACAGTTTTTTATGTTTTTATTTCCTCTGCGGTGACCTCTGACAGATGATTTCATCACCTCCGTCTGACTAACGACTCGCCTTGAGATGGTGAAATGACTGACTTGTTAACTCTTTCCTTTCAACCGGCAATAAAAGAACCAGAAAACAAGAGAAGGTGTTTGCAAATTTGCGGCGCATCAGGGACAAGCCAGGGGGGCGGTTTAGTCGGATTTTTTATTTATTCATTTATTAAAAAGAAAAAAATTATTAAAAAGAAAAAAAAAACATTGAATGAAAGTTAGATTTCAAGGTAAATACTGTGAAACCTGAACAACATTACTGAGGCCTGGAGCTAAATATTCTATTGTAGGACTAAAGTATTAATAATTATTTAATCTATTTTTCTTTGTACTGATTTTATACATCAATTGCATGTTTTAGAAAACAATCAGTCAATGTTCATCTAAGTGATGTGAGATTCGTTCATTAAAACGATGCAGAAAACAACAATATGTAATTCTTCAGTAGCTAACCTCTAAGATGCAGTACTCCGCTCCTTGTGCAGTGACGGTGAATGAATTTTAATTTTTAGGTTTTTGAAGTCCGCAGCAGAATGTTGATCCCCACCTTTTGTGAACAATTTCTAGAGATTATTTTTCTGTGGAGTGATGTTTGAACGAAGCGTGGACACAGTGAGGTTTGAGGTTTTCCTGCGGACACAGGGACCGTAAAAAAAAACTTTTTAATCAGCAGAAATGTATCTGTCCTTGCTTTGTTTTTGCACAGTTTGAGTGGTCGCCTGTAATCATGCTAAATTTCTTTGGCTTTTCCTCCCCCATCCTGTAAACCGGATGTACGGTAGTTGTCCCACTGAAGGGGTTAACATCCACCAGGGCAGACTTTCTGCTCAAACCACTTCCTCCTGGTTTGATACGAGTAATTATTTCCTCTAAGCCCCTCCTTACGCCACTCCCTTCCTGTTTTACTCCCTCGATGAAGCACAAATCCCTCAATTTTTAGGTCACAACAGCTTTATCCCCCCCCCCCCCCCCCCCCGGACAAGATATTTAAGTCTCTAGAAACACAAACATGCAGGGTTAGAAAGGGACACACACACCAATCAACAGTCTGATAAATGTTAGTCTCCGTGCTCCTGCCACAGACTCCCCCCCCCACGATGACTCCCTAAGGGGGCTTGTAGAACATGTCTCTTCCTGTCCCGAGACACAGGAGGGAGGGCGGGTGGTGGGGTGGAGGGAGACAGCGCAACTGGCGCCGACACAGTCAGCTCACACGGACACATGAACCAGCAGAGGGATTTGCTTTGTGCTTTCTACGAACACGACAGCGTTTGAGGTCGAGTAACGTGCACCTGCAGATCAGGCCGTGGTGGCAGCTGACTCATCGGAGCACGCACTAGAAGAGCTCAGCGTACCGTCTACACATCCACTAAACTAATTCAGATTTAACTTGTTTTAAATAACAATAAAAAACCCACACACACTAATCCTTTTTAATAAAGAATCATAAAAACGCTGCTTGTAGCTGCACCCACGTACCCAAGTGTTCCGCGTTTACGACCGTTCTGATAGCGTCTTCCATCTCTCCCTCTCAGTGCCTTTTCGTTTTTATAATTCTCCGATGTGCACTTTGTAAGAATGTGGAAATGCCAATAGGAGGTTTTAAATTAAAAAATGTATTTCATCCTGCCGAGGGTTTGATAAAGTGACAAACGGGTCCTAATATGTGCCGTTTGGTCCCAACAATATTGAGTGTTTATTATGGCAATTGCAATATTCTTTCTCGCTTACATACAAGTCCAATAAACTTCAGATGTCCTTTTACTAGACATGGGTGGATAAACAAGCACATCATCTGATCTATTAAAGATCTTGTCAGCACATGTAATGGTAATAAAAAAGTCATCACAATGTGAATAATAGGCCTCGGCAGGGGTGGTTCTATGGGGTGGCACACGTTGGCAGCTGCCACTGGGGAAAAAAAAACCTTGCCACCCCAGTTGCCACCATTGTACATTATTGAAAGTCAAGGACATCTGTATAAAACTTGAGCCTATCTTGGCTAAGTGGTTTAGTTTGCATACCCATCACTTGAATTCCAAAATTATTTTACCTGGCAGCCAGACCTAGACATTTTACCAACATAGATGGTTTCAAGACACCTCAACCCGATGCAATTTACCCGTTTCATTAATTCAATTTAATTCAATTCAGTTTATTTATATATCACCAAGTCACAACAAAAGTCATCTCAGGGCACTGAACAGAAACATTCATATACAATAAGAGCTGGAGCCCAGATCACTGTAATGCCATCCAAAGAGGGTATAAAACTGCAAAATGTATTCCTAAACTAAGTTGCTCAGGTCCAAAAACCAAATCCTCTGTTTTGTCTGAGTTTAAAAGCAGAAAATTAAGGGTCCTCCAGATTTTTATGTCTTTAAGACATGCTTTAGTCTAAGTAACTGATTGGGTGCATTAGGTTTCATGGACAAATATAACCATGTATCATCAGCATAACAATGAAACTTTATCACATGCTGTTTTAGAACTTTAGCAAAGAGAAGCTACAATAAATGCTGACCCCCCCTTCTGGAGCTTCATGCTACCAGTGCCACTGTCCCTTGAAATAAAACATACTGCTACATTTCATGCCAGAGCTTTAGGGAAGTGAATGGAAAACTGAGATTGTTATGTTCCCATACAATTGGCAAAATTACCATAGTTCTCTACATTTAACCAATCACACTTGAGATACTCCCAGGTGGAGCAGTGGGTAGCTATGTAAGTGCCTGGGAAGCAATTAGAGATTGGGTATTTTGCTCAGAGACACCACGGCATGTGGGAATGGCTGGGAGTCGAACCGTGAATTTCTGGTCCCAAGTCAGCTGCCCTACCTCTACCCCATTTTATCTTGTGTTGGGGAATGACAGCAATGTAACTGTTGGGGCACAACCTTCTATAATATCACAGGATGATGAGGTCAAAAGTATATATATATATATCAATGACGTTCAGCTAAAGTTAGGTTCATCATTCAACCTAACCTTGTTGCTAAAAGGTTAGCTCAGTGAGACTTAACTTTATGTTTAAATGACCGGAACACAAATTTGTGTGAACTCTGTCACACAATTGTTTATTCAATTAGGAAAGAGAAAAAGACAACCAAGATTAAGCTACATACCTTGAACTCTACAACAAAAGAGAGGCAAAAAAACACATTGTTTGCTTTTGAACTGTATTGGGAGAAGAACTGGCAAAGGAAAAAAAAACAGACTAAAACAGAAACACGTGTGCACTGTTTCGAACTACTCAGGTGCAGTTTATGGTTGAATAAAGTGAGATTTTTACCAATCAGGGCAGCTTCTATTAGCATTGGAGTCAAATTTGCCGAGCTCCAGTCAGTCTGCCTTATCAAACCATCATCATTGACGCTCATTGCAAATTCTGTTTGAGTCTCTGCTTTTGATGCCCCAGATCAACCGTAACATCAAGGAGAAGCGTCGAACCTCCTTACCAGTGTGACCAGAGTGGTGAAAATAACGGAGTTCCCCCTTCAGATAGCACCTTTCATGTTTTCCATTGGGGCGTGGCTGAGGTTTCATTGACCCGCTGGGCCTCGCACTCCCACGTTTACTCCTACCAGGCTAATGTTCTCAGCTAGTGACTCGTGCGTGTTTGAAGTCAACCAGCAGATATGAGACTAATTAAGTGGTTGGTTTTTGTCGTTAAGCTGAACGGAGGCTTTTGCATGTGAGGTCTGAGAGCAAAGAAGACGAAGAGAAGGAACACGCCGCGATACTTCCTGGAATATGTCTGCGCCTGTTTATGCAGCGTGTCATAACATTTACCACGGTAGTTTCTCGCCGCAAAAGCATGTACACCACTTCAACTCCAGAGGGTGCATGGGAAGGGGGGTGTGGGAGTTTGTGTATGCATGTATGAATGTGGTTACTCACACATATTTCAGCAGAACTGCCTGGACTTCCATCCCTGAGGAGTTCCATCTGCAGGCGGGAGCCAACGTATCTAAACACACACAAACTCACGTTAACGCTGCATTAAATCAGACTGAACGTGGAATTCAATTTGTAGGTTTGTTGCTGGTTTCGCATTTTGCATTTCTAAGGAACAGCTTTGTTGAATGGAAGATAAAGGTGGCTCACATCTGTAACGTACAGACAACAAACTAGAGAACATTTGTAAGGCTGACGGTTGATCCCCCTCAACAACAGCAAAATCGCTTTTAGCAATTTCGTAAGCATACTTCTTGAAAAAAAAGAAGCTATCGCCATGTAGTCAAAATCTGAAGGATGAACAGCAAATCTGTGCAGCGTATTTTTTTTCCAAGAAGTATCGATTTAAAAGTAATGTTTTTAGAAAATGCACAGATACGCTTTGTGCATCGCCATTCTTATCTGATGATTGTGGAGCCAAATACCGGAGAGCAGGAGGCAGATTTTATTTTTATAAACTCAAGTGCAGGAATCCAGGGAAAGTATAACAAGATTTAACATTTCACTACCAAGAACATTCAGGAAACATTCACGAACTAACATGAAGATCTGACAACTAGCTGAAGAAAACTAAAGAGTTTATGTTGAGCATAAATACTTTCAGTGGTAATGGAGAGTGGAAACAGGTGTGCTGATTACTAATGAAAGCCAGGTGGTGTGTAAGGAGCTGGGAGCTACTGAGGACATTTAATGGCACTAATTTGAAAGTATTTAGTAAAGTATCTACTGTGAGTATAATTAGGAAGTGTTTTAATAACTAGAATTCCAATACTTCATTGAAAACTGTCAAACTTTGAGAGTTTGCATTGTAAGCAGCTATATGTTTATTAGCGATTTAACGATGGCTCCAGCTCAGAATCGTAGTAATTTTGTCATGCAAGTGTGGTGGAAGAGGCTGAAATGCATGGAACAACCAGGAACGAACAGGAGGAATAAATGTACAACAAACTGAAAAGAAAATTATACAGAGTTTACTGATGATGGTGAATGGAAACAGGTGTGCTGATTACTAACGCAAGCCAGGTGGTGTGTATGGCGTTGGACAAGAAGGTGCTGAGGACATTTAATGGCAATAATGTAAAAAACAAACAAACAAAAGAATAACTTAAGAACTTAAAATCAAAGTTCATGCTCAGTAATCCAGGTAAAAAAATCCAACAAAGTTAAGTCAGGTCCGCTGGACGGTTGAAACGTTTCGTCTTTCATCCAGAAGACTTCATCAGTCCAAGGAGCCACAACAGACTCAGTCCCATAATAGCAACTTCACATAGTGGGCCAACCAGTTTGATGGTAATAAGATGTTTTCTGGAATCCGCCCTCTCCTCCGTCGACTCGCCTGAGGCAGCCATGACCAAAGTGGTTGAAAACATCAAAGCTCATGCTCAATAATCCAGGTAAAAAAAATCCTCAGACTACCTCAGACGAGTCAACAGGTAAAGAGGGCAGACTCCAGAAACCATCTGATCATCAAACTGGTTGGTCCACTATGTGAGTGTACTGGTTGTGGGACTGAGTTTGTTGTGGCTCCTCGGACTGATGAAGTCTTCTGGATGAAAGACGAAACGTTTCAACACAAAGAAACCCTCCACAGGACCTGACTTAACTTTGTTGGGTTAAGAACTCAATCCAATCCAAAATACAGTAAAGACCAGTAAAAGTTATAAACCAAGTTCAAAACATTAAAACTAAAACACGGGCGACAAAACAATGACAAATTATGACACTTTCTATATTAAATCATTCACCTTCTGGGAATAGGGGCATCAAATTCATATTTACAACACAACTACATAGATAATAAATTCTGCCTATGAGCTAATTAACATGTTATATACACCATTTGTAAAATATTTAGTCACACAGATAAAATACTGTGTTAGGCTATATGTGGTACAAAATCAAATACATATCCAGTGTATAGATGCACGAAATTGGATTTTTGGCCGATATCGATATCCGATACCAATACCAATATTTTCCCCACTAGACCTACTTACAGAGACTACATAGCTTTCTCTGTTGTGGAATTAAATTATGACATTATTCTACATGGTCTTTGTTAATTTGACCTGCTACCAAATGCAGATGCCAAAAAGGGGCTGAAAATGATGCAACACTTCAACATGGATTATGTTTAACGTCAAATTTATTCAGGACATTTACTCTCTAACACATTGTCAACACTAGAACAGTGCAAATTTGTAAATATTCACAAATAAGTCCCTGTAAGTCCAGTGTAAGAGGAAGGTATACAGTATGTATATATGTGTATGTGTAAACTTTTATATCGGCGAGTTATTTTGATGGAATGGTCGATGTCCGATATTTAACTTTATCGCTAATATCGTCCGATACCAATACCATGCCAATAATATCACGCATCCCTAATTCAGTGCTTTTCAACGCAAGCTCAGTCTGAACGGTTATGTCGCATTTCATCCACTTTTACATCAGTGAGGTAGCGAAACATGAATTGATCCAAATATTGATAATATTGATGCCAATGCTGTGCAGTTTAAAGCCTGGTTTAGGGTTTGTAAAATAAATTAGTTGACCCTGATTGCACAACAACTCCAGAAATGATACACACATGCCAACGTGTAGAATCCATTTTTACATCTAAAAACACAGCATACTATGTGCAACGTCACATCTTCTGTGAACATGGGTTGCTTTTGAGACGTAGAAGGTTCTGATAGAGGTCGCATTAAAATGACCGTGCAATAAACTAATAAATCAAATAAAATTAAATTAAGCATTAAGACCTGCAGAGTGTGAATTATGTCGCACATAGTCTCAAAACTCTACACTAAAGTGACCAACTAATTGTCCCATGACATTTTATTATACGCCGACGACAGCTGATTACCAATGGAGCCAGATCGGTGAGCTCATGCTAACATGATTTATATTTGATACTCCCCTGACTAAAACCTGTGTGTGTGTACACACACACGTTTTCTGGCCTCGCATCAGAATATAGTCCTGGTCAGAAGAAGCTAAATCTCACCAACTCACCACAACCCCCGATTGAAATCGCACAGCCGGATTCTGTCCATGTCTGCGTTAGCGTCTGGAAAAATGCCAGCCAGGCGGATTCAACTAGCACTTCTTTCTAAATCTGACATCATCTTTTATAAAGGCGTGCAACCTTTCTTTTCTGACTTGAACATGGAAATATATTCAATATACGTTCTGGTGCAGATTTGAATACAATTCATGATGTTTGGAGCCGGTCATGTGAAACCATTTGTGCATACCATCTACAAGCTGATGAATGCAAGCATGTATTTTATCTAATAAACAGTCAAAAATATCCGATTGTGTGAGGATCAGTCGACACAATGCGGGATTCATGAGAAGAGTTTCAGGAGATCGATATTAAACCTTCATGTGAGCCGTGCAGATTAGAAGACCTCAAACAACCAAACCTTGTTTAAAGGGTTTAATTAATGAGGTAGATGACGGTGAAATGATGATGCAAATCTTTCAAACAGTTGGAGATCTAAGCTCCTAAACTTAACCAAGAACAAAAAAAAAAAAAATAACACTCGGACCGAGGTAGAGCTGTAATTCAGGACTTCAGTTCGACCAGTCAAATGTTTAGAAACAGCTTTTGGATTATGAAGTCCAAATAAACGACTCTGTGAAAGTAAATTGTTGATTTTGTTTATATATTTTTGTCTTTAAAAATACTGTGAAGCAACGTCTAAGCTGTTCAATTTTGCAAACACCACACAACTGGTTGGTCCACTATGTGGGTTTGCTGCTTGTGGGACTCGGTTTGTTGTGGTTCTTCGGACTGATGAAGTCCTTTGTATGAAGGACGAAACATCTCTACACACACACAAAAAAAAATTGTCCTGATGACCTAACTGAACGTTATTGGAATTTCATCCAGATATCAAAGTTCATGCTCAATCATCCAGATACCAAATCCAATAATGCTCAGTCAGGTCATCTGGACAGTTTCTGTAGAGACGTTTCACTCTCTATCCAGAGGGCTTCATCAGTCTGAGGAGTTTACTTAAGGAGTTTACTGCTTGATGGGGAAACAGTTTACTTGGAACTCCTCAGATTGATGAAGCCCTCCAGAGAGAGGTTGAAACATCTGTACAAAAAAATAAACCGTCCAAATGACCTGACTCTGAATTACTGGATTTTGTACCTGGATGATTGTGCATGGACTTTGATGCCTTGAACCACTTTGGCTGTGCCTGCCTGGGAGGAGTCGACGGAGGACAGGACAGCCCCCAGAAACCATCTTATCTCCAGCAAACTGGTTGGTCCACTTAAGGAGTTTACTGCTTGGTGGGGAAACAGTTTACTTGGAACTCCTCAGACTGATGAAGCCCTCTGGATAGAGGGTGAAATGTCTCTAAAAAAAAGAAAGTCCAGATGACCAGAAACCATCTTATCACCATCAAACTGGTTGGTCCACTCTGTGGGTTTGCTGCTTGTGGGACTCAGTTTGTTGTAGCTCCTCGGACTAATGAAGTCCTTTGGATGAAGGACGAAACCACTCAACAACAACAACAAAAAAGAAACTGTCCAGATGACCTGACTGAACTTTGATGGACCACAGGCATCTTTACAATCCTTACTTTTATTTATAGTTTTGGTTGTTAGTTATAATAATTTCTGTACATTCATTGGGCCGGATTGTAGCTTTTCTCAAGGGGAAGCTAAAAAAGGACTGCACATTATCCAAGACGAAATTAAATATTCAAAACGGACTAATTTCACTGTCAGTGTACTGATTTTCACTGATCAGGATTTTAGAAGGGCACAATTTCAAGTAAGTGCTACATTTGAACTTACTTGAACAACGAAAAAAAACTTCCTGCAGAAGAAAAAAATCCCATAAAATGTAAACTGCTGCAGTTTGTTCTCATCTATATCGCTGAATTGACTACTACTCAGCTTAAAAACACAAATATTAAAATTTCTACAAGAGTTTAATTTTTTTTTTTTTTAATCGATCGAGAAATGTTTGGTTTAATTGCAACTTTGCTGAATGGAGCAGAAAGTGGTGTCAGGGCTGACGGCAGCAGCTGATTGGGAGACGGTGAAGGAGGTGATGGTGATAGGGAACAGGCGGTGGGATTACCTGAGCGTGGAGCGAGGAGGGGTAGGTGAAAGCAGGCGGTAGGGCCGACGACAGCTCTGCCGGGTACAGCGGGTACGACGCCCACACATCTGGGCTGCTGGGATATAGAGCAGGCACTGTGAGCTCATCTGTGGAAAGAAGAAGAGGAGGAGTGCGGTGAGGAGAATGAAAAGTGAATGGGTGGGTGAATAGAGAGGCAGGGAGGAGGTGACGGTGATGGTGGTGATTGTGGAGGTGTGCACTGGGGGGGGGAGTATCTGAAGTCGAATCCTCTGGTTTCATTTCTTTTTCCAACCAAGCACCCACTAAAACAAACCCCCGAACATTTGTCAGAGCGAGGTCCGTTATAGCTTAGCAACTGTAGCTGGAAACTTCAAGCCTGTAAAGCTTTGGATTTATCTTCACTCTTTTGTTGGCTGAGCATCTTGCCATAACATCTAAAATAGTCATTAAAAACATAAAAGTAAACACAATGAATGGAAAACAACGTGTTAATTTGTCCGAAAGCTACTACCGGTACATGCCTGGCTACTAGCTTACCAACTCAAATGTAAACAACTCAACTTTAACGATAAGCATGTTGCAAACAGACTATATCCATCCATCTATTCTATTTACCCGCTTCTTTCATCGCATCCATCTCCAGCAGTCACTGTGCAAGAAGTAAGGTACACCTGGACAGGTCTCCAGTCCATCACAGGGACACAGAGACATATGAGACAAACAACCTTTCACTCTCTCACTTATACCTAGTCATCAATGAACCTAACATGTATGTTTTTGGCCTCACATATTTTTGATTAGACAACCTTTAACCTTTTTGCTGTGAGGAAACAGTGCTAACCACTACTCCACCGTGCAGCCCCTGAAAATATCAATTTATTTTGAAAATGGCCACTTCACAAACTAAACAAATCCATTGCCTTCTTAAGAACTTCTTTCTTCTCCATTAGCTAACTTTTGGAACACTGTAGCAACCTAACGTGGCCATCCATCAATCCATACATACATACATACATCCATTATCTTTACCCGCTTCTTCCATTTTGGGTCACGGGGGTCGCCGGTGCCCATGTCCACCAATCACTGTGCGAGGGGCGGGGTACTCCCTGGATGGGTCGCAAGTCCATCACAGGGCCACAGAGACAAACAACCATTCACTCTCTCACACTCATGGACAATTTAGAGTTACCAATCAGCCTAACATGCATGTTTTTGGCCTGTGGGAGGAAACCGGAGTACCCGGAGAAAAACCACACATGCAAACTCCACCCAGAAAGGCCCCTGGACCGGGATTTGAACCAAGGACCAGCTCGCTGAGAGGCAGCAGCTCTACCAGTTGCGCCACCGTGCTGCCCCGTAACGTAGCCACGATAAGCTAATGTGTGCTAGCCGCTAATGTAAGAATATTCATTGTAGGAATTGTAATCTTCTAAGCATTCTGAACCAAACCTTTTAGATTTAACAATTACTTTTACATTCTTTACCCCAATTGAACTTATTTTGGCATCCTTAATTATCAATTTCCAAAACATAAACCTTATAAATATATCCAAAAGAAAGCAACATAAACATTAGCGTTAGTTTTATATAAAACGTTAGCCTTACTGTTTTAGATTTAGTAGCAAAATATCTATTGTACATATATAAACACTGTAATTGTTTTTACTGAACAAATAATCTGTTAGTTAATTACAAACTCAATCTGGACGTTTTGCTTTTAACCAGCGAATGGAGCTAACGTTAGCTTGATTAGCTATTTAGCCACATGTGCAACATCCCTCATTTTAGCGATCAAAACTGAAGGCTTTCAGCTCAAAATGTAAAGTCTGCTTTGCGTACTTCTATTTTAACCTATAATTTTTACATTTACTATAACTTTCAGTAAAAAAAAAGAAAAAAACTGCCAACCTTTGCATATTTAAACTGTTTTTATCCAATAGAAAAATGAAAAGCTTTACAGGCTAGCAACGGTAGCTAAGAGAATAGTGAGAGGAAACCACCTCAGATATGATTTACTGACTAAGTTGAGTGCAAAGTGACAAAAAAAGTGCATAAGTGAGGAGATAGTGCTGTGTGGTACAGAGGGAGTGAATACTTAAAAAAAAAAAAAAAAGCAGAATCAGTCAACATGGAGTAACTAATTGGAGAACCATCAGATAGCCATACAAATTTAGGGAGCATTTTTCTGTGCTTTCCATGTCTCCTGGTGACTCTATCAAAGCATGATCACAAAACAAAAGGCTGATTATAACATTTCTTATCAGGAAAATAACAGAAATGTCTCTCCTGGTGATTACGTCATGGTTTCATTAATCGTTTCCTTCCATTTTCCTCTGAGGCACCAAGTACCACCCCTCTTCTGGCAAAGAAAAGATCCAAGATAAGAGCAGTTGGGTCATTCAGGAAGAATGTACGATTACAGCTGGTGTATGTTTAACTAGCATTGAATGATTCTCGCAAGATCGTTAACCCCCTCGGGGAAAAAAATGTTTAACTAACTGGAAAAGAAACAGACACACAGGTGCATTAATGTGTTACTCAGAAAGGCCCCGAGTCCAAACCGATGGAGCAAAAGTTAACAATGAACATGCACTGTCAATAAGTGCTCAAACTAACAGAGCATCGGTCTTCTTTAACAGGAAGGAACGCCAAACAATCCAGCACGTGATTCATACAGATTCAAGCAAAACAACACGAGCTTTGGAAAGAGTTCACTTTTGTTAACACATCACTAAAAAAAAATACATGGTTGCATGAATGTTCCATTAAGACAAACAGTATCGAGAAATATATATCTTAAAGCTGCTACGCCACAGTCATAACAGAACAAGGAATAAAAAGTCTATTTACGACAGTAAAGTCATAAAGGGGAAACAGCTGTTCGGTCCAGTTTAGCTTAAGGAAGCAGCAGTACAAAGTAAAGCACCCACTCAGGGACAGGCGGATGAATGATCGGAGCACTTACATGGGTCTCTGCTAATGAACTGTGGCCCTGGGCTCTGCTGGGAGGGAAGGGGGTTGGGCGTGCCAACCAGCTTGTTTTTAGCCATCTTAGTGTTGGCCTTGGCGAACTCCAGCCGCAGAGTTTGGGGGATCTCTGGATCGAAACGAACCCCCTGAAGTCAACCAGAAACAAGTGTTAGAAACAATACTGTCCTATCAAAACACCATTTCTTCATAGAATATCTCAGGCAGGGAGCAACCAGACGTCAAAGGGATAGTTCAGCTCCTTTGAAGGGGACTTCTTGTAGAAAAGTCATAACCAATAAATAGTTCTAAACAATACATCTTGTAAATGAGTCCCCGAGGCTCAATGGGATTCACCTGTATAAATAAGGGTTGAATGAATGAATTAATATAAAAGTATTCTAACCAGACCGATGAGCTAATGGCTAGTCCAAATCGAGCCTCAACAGTTTACGACTGGAGTTACTTGAAGTTGGCTTTAATCCTGGCCCTGATGTTAACTCATAAATCTGGCACCGCCAAGATCCACTTTCCAAACTCCTTAGATTGTATTGGGTTTCTTAGGGTTTCTACAGAGCTCAACATGTTGTAAATAATATAGTTGGCTTGCATTATACCTTTTCAAGTTCAAGTATCTTTGTTCTCATTTGCATCACATGTGGTACATGAGGTGGAACGAAATTGTGTACTTAAGGTCGCAGTTACACCCAGCAATAGCAAAAATAGAAAGTATAAAAAGAAGCAGTATATAAGGATCTAAGATATACGCCAAACACTAATGATGTGAAATAATACGGTATAATAAACTGCAGCCCGAACATTTTTACACGTTATATTTTAAAGGAAATAGGTAGAAATGAAAATGGCACTTGTCAATCCAATAACAGGAACTTTTATTCTGAAAGGAAGGAAGCATCTTGATGCGTGTGCATTGTTAGAGAAAGCTTTTCTTGCAGCGCAAAAAGGGGGTCTGGGTAAATTAGTTTGCTTGTTTGAAGGCTTCTGTTGGTGTGTCTGCTGGTGTAGAATTAGGAAACTATGCAGTTGAGACATCGTTGGATGTATTGATGTTGTCGTTCATCATCACAACCCTCACATCTGCATCAGTGGGCTGCAGCTGCTGCCTACAATATGGAAACAGCATTTGTTTCTGAAACGTCTCAAAACATTTGCAAGGGTTCTCAATTTCTTCTCGAGTCTTGCAAGGCCCGAGTCTTGTGTTGTTGAAGTTTGGAACATAGACCGATTTGCAGGTCAAGTTTACTCTCAAAATAGTTGCAGAGTCGTCACAGGCGTCTGGAACCCATCTCAGTTTAGTTTCCGCGAGTCTGAAAGTGCGAGAAATGGGAGACGACCTCTGGAGGGTTTGGTGGAGACAAAAAGCCTGAATAGCAAACAAATTGGGACACCATTAAAACACTTTGTGATGAAGTTGTGGCATCTGTGCCATTTGAATTAATTCAGAGCTGATTATTTTTGTGTTTGCCATTTCAGTGCAATTAAGTATTCAGGGTTTATTTTAAATTTATTTTTAACAGTTAACACGGTCATCACAAAGTCCCTTTTTCTTTTTTTACAGCGGCACCTGGTGTAAACACACACCAAGCTGTTGCGTGGCGGTGTTTTTCCAGACGGGCAGCTTTTTTCAACACAACACCTACTGCCGACTACCCAACACAAAGCACCCATTTCTGCTATTGTAGTTTATTTTGAAAGGTTCAATAAGTGGAAACTATACGCATGGATGAGCTCAGCTTTACTAGCCAGAACACATGCATTTCCCTCTACGCTAATTCCTTGAACCGGCATAAATTAAAATATAAAAATCCATCACCTTTCTCAAGTTTAAGGAAGTAAAGAATATCCCTGAGCCAGTGTAAAAAAAGAGGATGAGGTATTTTCCCCAAACTTCCAACCACCTCAGATATAGCAGCAAAAATCTCCGTCCAAAAGGCATTAAGCCGAGGGCACTGCCAAAACACATGAATAAGATTTTCAGGGGACTGTTGACATCTGTCACATTGCTGGGGAAACCAAGTTACAGATTTTAGATAAACAGGCTTTAGTGTAATACACACGGTGCACCAACTTGCATTGGATAAGACAATGCTTCACGCAAATAGAGGATTCATCTACCCGTGTCTGAATACGTGACCAAAGCTCATCAGAAATATTCTCCCCAATATCTTGTTCCCAAAGGTTCCTAATCGAGTTTAGAGAGTTCAGACGAAACAAGGCAAGTAAATTATAAAGAGTTGAAATAGAGCCCTTTAGCCCAGGGGTGGACAAAAACAAGGAACCCAGGGCAGAGAGCTCAAGCAAATGGGGAAAAGTGGGGAAATTACTGCGAGCAAAACTGGGATTTGTAGACATCTAAAAAAAAAAAAAAAGTGGTGCGATGGAAGAGCAAATCTGTCTGATAGATGAGTAAAGGAGGCAAAAACATTATCAATGAATAAGTCCTTGAAGGTCCGTATGCCAAGATCATACCAAGTTAAGAGCAGTTTTTTGGTAATATTGATTTTGTGCACAATCATATGATGACAGTGATAAATTTATCAATAATCTGAGCAAACCCTCTACACTATTTTTTCTCCCACTTAAAACACGATTATGTTCTTCTGTTTTCCTGGAAGGTTGTTCAAGACAATGTTCTTGAGTAAGATTATGGTTAACTGTATGACAACTCAGGCTAGCTTCACTTTGCATTCACAACCGTGCTACAAAAACAGGCCGACGGAACACCTTTGCACCTAAAACCATCATGTGTTAAATAAGAAGAAGACACCTGGAAGACTTGCCTTCGTCTATTTGATGCGGTGATGAAGCAGATGAGTTTAGAACGATGTGCCGCTTCCTTTTTTGTTGTCTGTTGTTCAGATATCCAGAGGGAGCTGGCTGCTATCAGGAACTGTCACTCTGCTGCCTTTTTAATCTTTCAGAGTTTGACAGTAAACTTTACAGTCTAAATTTTGCCTTAAAGCCTGCTGGAAATGGCTCACGGTGAATTACAGAGCAACACGTCTAACTCAAAATCTCAACCTGATGACAAAAACTTGGCTCGCCGTTGCTTCAGACACGGGAGGCGAAGCCACGAGGACCTTCCTGCGGAACCTGTAACTGTCAATATCGCAACATTAGATCCCTTATTTGATGACGGTTGGCACCATATTAAAGGGAACCAAACACTTCAGACATCACTGCAACGTCATGGTGAGCCAAATCGCTGAAGGATTTTAATTGTGAATGTTTGTAGTTTTTGAGATGTGTTTTTCTTATTTCCAGAATTGAACCAAGATTAAAAATTAGCCTTAACTGTTTTTTTCGGGGCTTGTCCGAGGCAACACCAAGATGGATCCTGGCAAGCAGAGGGAGCAATTTTATCCACCACCAAACATAATGGAGGAGCCAGGCGGTGGCCAATGGTGGCCTTGGCCACCACAGATTATTTTTCGTCCACCCCAAACATTCGAGGATACTATACTTTTAAGCAACATAAAAAATAGAAAGCACAGTTTACTCAAATGATTGCGATGGATGGTTAATGCATATTTTCTTACGCTTAAATGTTAATTTTCAAGAATTGTTATTGTCCCCGAGGGGTAATTTGTTTCACAGTCAGTAGGCACATAAAACATCCATTCCATACTAGATAAGACAAAGATATTAAAATACCAATACAGACATAATTGTTCGTTAAGAAGCCTGATCGCTACAGAGATAAATGAGATTTTCAGTCCGTTATACATCTGGGCAGCAGATATCTGTGCCCAGACAGAAGCAACCCTAACTCACCATGGAGTGGGTGATCAGGATCTGCCAGAATAAGCCTGGCCTCGTTCACTGACCTCGCCTTGTGTAGGTCAGTGAGGTTCTGTAGGGCTATGCTAGCAGTTTTGCTGCACATCCTGACAATCCTCAACAGTTTGTTCCTGTTCTTACATGTTAAAAATCCAAACAGAAGAAAAAAAAAGTAGAACCAACATTCAAACTAGTTTCCAATAAAAATATATTCTCCGATGAGCCTTCTTACAAAATGAGCTCACATGTGCATCAAAGGTCAGTTTGTCATTAAGAACAGTTCCCAGATATTTAAATCAACAGCTTCACCGTTCATGACCACAGGAGCGACAACTGAAGAGTCTTTTCTAAAATCAACAACTGTCTCTTTAACTTTAAAACAGAAGACGCGTCATTCAGTGACGTCCCTGACCACGGGTCTATGGTCTGGGTCATCACTGCTGAGAAGGGACAAGATGGCCGAGTCATCAGCGAACTTTAAAATGTGACGCTGTGGATACTGGCTGCGACAATCACTCGTATATAAAGAAATAAATGCAGCCACAAACCGAAGTGGTATTCAGCACGCTTATTTTCTGTTATCCAGCTCACAGAATTTCAGTCTATACATAAAAGGTGGCAGCCATCTTGAATAATGACGTAGCAACCTAATTTTCAATACGGGCTTTTCTTAGGTCTAGATGCAGCTACACACCAAAACGTACCTCACCTATTTTGCAAGTTATCAAGCTCAAAAGATGGACAGATGCACTGACGAAGGGTATTTCTAAATTTCATTTTTGCAATGGTGGACAAAAAAGTTGTTATCTCTACTTCTAAGAGATCCACATGAGCCGCCGCACAAATGATATCTTTTTTTTTTTTTTGGGATCATTTTGAGGAAAAGTGAAGGAACGCAGAGGTCCATCTTCAGAAAACAAGGTGACCACAGAGCAAAGGTAGAATTGAGAGAGGCGCCTAAACGTCCACTCATTAACCTCGTTCGTGTGAAAGACACAAAATGGCACAAAGTTCGTATGAGCCGAAGGAGCGAAGTGTTCTGCAGTGAAACGAAGCTGCAGGGTTGGGCTTCTCATCTCGTCCCTGCAGGCTCGAGGAACCCAAACGAGCGAGCAAAGACTCTTCTCATGAAAGAGAGTTGTGCGGAGAGAGGGGGGGTTTAACTAGGATTGCCTCTTCTTAGCGCTTTCGCAGCTTCTGGCTGCAGAGGTATAATCAGATCTGCGGGTATAACGAGGCCTAAGTGTTCTCGTGTCTGAACCGAGCTGAAGATCCAACCTTGAACTGATTCTCAGGTTCTTCGGCTTCGATGGCGGTGGTTGTTGTGCCGTTATATTTAGAGGAAAAT